CGGGCTAATTCTAGGTGTAATTATTAAATTGCAAAATATATACGCTTTAAAGTGCGCTTTTTTAAAATCTCCTGAAAACTCATATAAATCTCTTGAAAAATAGACGACATTGTCATTTGCGGGTGTCATTCATTTCGGCAAATGCCAATCATACGCGCGATAAAAGAAAAAAGGCATTGTTAGCTTTCATGTAATAAAATGTAATAATCGGGTGAATTTTTACCTTAATTTTACCTTTAACCTTAAAGTTCTAATATTTTTTAACTTTGATAGTCACTTGACATATAAATATGCTATAGGCTGCAAGGTTCGTAAAGTAAAGTTAATTGGATCGCAATTTTGTACTTAGTAAAGAATGAATAAAATTCAAAGTAGATTTTTTTTCTAATACAAAATCTTAATTTTCACTTATTCCCACCCAGACTAGGCCCCGCGCAATCAATTTCTCATAGGGCCCTGCAATTGTTAGGACCGGCCCTGGGTCAGATGATGTTAAGGTCATCTGTTTCTGCTCGTTAACCGTAGGCCAAGGAAACAGATGGCCACATATTTTTAACGCTACTTATTTTGTATACATTTTCAAACACAAAATGTCTGTAGGCTTTGTTGAACTTCTGATATGTTGTTTAATGCATTTATATTGTTATATAACTTAATGCATTAATTGTTATATGACTTCTGAACCTGGGGTCCTGGGTTTGAATCTCGATGAAGGGATTTTGAATTTCGGGATTTTTACGCAATCCTGATTCCATGTCTTATCGTATCTTATATAATACAGACGTTTCTTCAAAAAAGAAGATGATTACGTCCTACGCGTCATACATTTAGTCATGCATATTAACCAATGAATTAAATTCTGCCAAATCACTGGTTTTCCTGGCTAGCTCAGGCAACCCATTCCATGCTCTAATAGCACTAGGGAAGAAGGAGCATTTGTACAAATTTGTCCTAAAGGGTACCTGACTTAAGTTGTGGAAAGTAAAAGCTGTTAGTCGTTGTGCTGGCCACGTGACACCATGGTATTTAACCGTTGGCTAAAAAAAAAAGATGACCTTAAAATCCTTTACTGTAATAATAACATTAATACATTTTCGGATGGTATGTTAAATTAAAGAGAACAGCGCTGGCAGAAGATAAGCGCCAGAGTAGAAAAAAAAAGGCTAATGACATTAGTTCCATCTGGAATAACCTGCCCAGTGTGCAGCCGAACATTCCAGGCTCACATAGGTCTCACCAGCCACATGAGGAGGCACAAAACCCCATTGCAAAGCTCTCAGCCCCCTGGATGAAAAAAAGTGGTCATCATGGAACCACGATGGACGAACTTTATATGTTATATAAAGTATGGGATCGAAAAGAAGATTATATATATATAATAATAATATATAATAAGTTTATCATAATAATAATTAGGAGTTGTCTTTGTTTCCGAAAAGTATGTCAGGTTACCAACACACCCAGTTGGGGCTTTTTTTTATTTGTCACATCTGATGAGGTCTTTGTTTGCCGGGAGTCTGTTTAAGTTTTTTTTTATTTGTCGTCTGCACTTGTCTTGGACAAGAGCTTTTGTTTTGGTCACAAATGCAGGTCCATCAAGCTTTGTGAGAACTCTTAATGTGTTTTTTTAGGAGGCCATATGCAGCCAACTGCTTTCCTCTATTTCTAGCGAGAGCAAATTGGCGCCTGACTTGAACATCTTCTTTTAACTTTGCCAAAGTAGATCGTCTTTTGAATGCTGCCCTCCGCCATAGGGGATAGGTCTCCGGCTAAACGAAGGTGTCGAATGGTAAGTAGTACTTCTAGACTCTAAACAGGCATTCAGCAGATCTTGGCTCATTGTTTGGTAGTCTTGTAAAATGTTTGTAAAATGTTTTACATGTTTCGGATGTCTCTTCAGAGTTGAAGATAATTACTTCCTAGTCCAAACTTCCCGCAGGACGACGGGTGATGGGAGCAGGCAGGGTTTGAACCCTGGACCATCGATAAATCTGAACGACAGTCCAGCGCGCAAACCGCACGACCAGGCAGCCATCCAACGTATGCCCATTGTTAGTCGAAAGAGCCTTAGATGACTAATAAAATACCCAGGTTTCAAAGCCAAACTATAGAGATTTATACGCTCACATTGGACTAATTGGACTAGTTGTCTGTTGTGACAACTCAGCGAGGGACTAACTAACTTAGTAACAACAATCTGCCAGCTGTGATGGCCGAGTGGTTAAGGCGTTTGACTTGAAATCAAATGGGATCTTCCCGCGTAGGTTCGAACCCTTCTCGCAGCGTACCATTTTTTTAAAAATCTTTCGTGAAGATTTATTAAATGTAGTTTTAAAACAAAATGGTTTTTATTTGAGCCCTATTCCTGACATATTTCTTTCTGCACAATAAAATAACTATGAAACTGTACGTTGCGTAAGTAGCACCTCATAGAACTACCGACGGTCTCGTCATGATATATTCAGAGCACTTTTAATTTATTATTTAGAGAGAAAAAAAATCTCTATAAAGTCTCTTGCTGAGATTTCACATGAAACAGTTAAAAGGAAACTTGATGACTTCATTACGTTGAGGCTGCAATAGGAGAACTCAAACTACACCTGGTTCTGATGGTCTTCCTGGAGGAGCCTTTAAAATGGGTGTGCTGCTCTAACGTAAAGTTTAGCGTGCCTCTTCATTAGGAGGCCACAATCACATCCCTGTACAAAACAATGGTGACACGTCCATCTGTTATAATAACCATGGCATTACTTGAGGCTGGCAATAGCGAGAAAACTCCTTGCCAGAATTGCCTTACCAACTGCCCCAATTCCACAGGAAAGCGATGTACTCTCTGAAAGTCAACGTGGTTCTAAAGTAATCAATGTATACTGGACTTGGTCTTCGTTCTTCATAATGCTCGAAATCAAACATGTTTTCTTGTTCCTATTCTAGACATTTCAGATCGTGAAATCAAACATGTTTTCTTGTTCCTATTCTAGACATTTCAGATCGTGAAATCAAACAAGTTTTCTTGTTCCTATTCTAGACATCTCAGATCGTGAACATTCTGGATCAACCAATTCACCTACTCCCAGAATAATATTATCGAAATATTTGTCAGATCTTAAAATAAATAAATTAGAGCTTTTATATAGCGCTACATTCATAGCAAGCTCTTAGTATTATGGTCCAATCTCATTTGTGGACAAGTGGGAGGGGCTGGTTTATCATAGATAAAGTTTTCCGTGCTACCTTTAGGCACTCAGTAAACAGTTGGGTGTCGAACCTCGAGCCCCTTTCATAAGTAGCCAAGCCAAATTTAAGCGTACTTAACATCTCGACCATACTCTTATTAGGCCTATGAGATTATGTTTGAATTGTTCATTGCTGATAAATATTTAACTTAGGCTGCTTTAACAATTTACTGAATCATTTAACAAAAGAACAAATAAATTTAAATTTCTATAGTTTAATACCGAGACTATTTGCCACGGATAGTTAAAAAAAATTGAAACTAATGATTTAAAAAAAGTAACCTTTGAAAAAGTTTTACTGCCTGCGTGTTTCAGACCTTGTTGTCTATAGGGCAGATGATGTAAAGGTCATCTGTTTCTGTGGCCTACGGTTAACAAGGGTGTCATGTGGCCAGCACAACGACCAACCGCCTTTACTTTTCCCCTACTAATGTCAGGTACCCATTAGAGCTGGGTAGACTCAGAGGCGTCCGAAGATCCCGAAATTAAAAATCCCAGTCTTCACCAGGATTCAAACCCCAGTCCCCGGTTCGGAAGCCAAGCGCTTTACAGCTAGGCCACCGAGCATAAATGTTTTTAATATATATACCAGAAACATTTAATGTCCTAATAGTCTCCTCTTTTTTTTTTTTTATAATAATGAATAATTGCAAAAATAGTGTTCTTGGGGAAAAAATATTAGGCATATTTAATTTTAAAAATTTAGCAGTTCACTGAGAAGTAGCAGTTGCATCAGAACTTTATAAGAAATCATGATATTGCATTTTCAAAAAGCTATTCTAGTCATGAAATAACATATAAATTTCTTTTCTGCAACCAGATACAGTACAACGCCAGGACAATCTCAGATCACAAAATCTTAAAATAAAAAACCAACACGTGTTATACTTTTACCAGAATTAATGAAAGGTTATCATGACATCATCCATCCTCTTGAGAGTTCAAAGATCGAATGTTTGGAACTTGTTTCCCATTGAGCTTCGACAGGTCATGTGCTCCAATCACGCTCAAGAAGAAATAAGCATCCTTCTGTTTAAAGATACGAACAATACTATGATCTTTTAGTTCTGCGCCTTGTCTGTGCAATGTATGTGTTATGTCTGAGATATGTCTGTTGTATTTTGTTCAAAGCACCTTTGAACAAACATCATAATAGTCAGTAGGGCTACATGAAGTTTGTTATTTTTATAATGAAAAATCTAAAAGAAAAAAAAAATTCTTATCTAAGGTGAAGAACCTAAAAATCACAGTCATATAGTATTTTACTGCAGGAATAAGCTCTCTTTTTCTATATTTAATAAAAATCATTAATTAATGGTTAATATATATATATATATATATATATATATACATATAATAATATATTCATCTATTATTGTAAACTATGTATAAAAGAGCAACATTTCTTACTTGTGAGAATGGAAAGTGTAAAAACATACGTGTAAACATTGTAACAAGGGGAATAACTCCATTTATAAAGCTACATTTCTCAATAAGCTGCATTTATTTTATTTATTCGAAACAAAAGAAAATTATCAAACCTATCAACTTATAGGTGAAGTTTTTGATTGATTCATGTTTTGTTAGAAACAATAAATAGATGTGTAAAGTTTAAACTTGACCCCAGAATGGGTTTGTGTGAAATAACGTGTATAAAAATTGTACCAGACAGACAGACAGAGAGAGTAACTTGATCTAAACTTTGTTTAATTTTTAAAAAACAAAAGAAAAAAACCCACAAAAAACAAGCAAACAAACACAGGATTAAGGTTTATAATCTTTCATATTTAATACTAACATAACAAATAATTTTTAAACATTTCCTATTCCAATACTAGAAAATAGATAACTGTTTTTCGATATACATCTCTTCAAGGCATTATAAAGAATATACATGAAAGAAAGACACACACACAAAAACAACATATTTGTTCTTGTTTGACTAGAATACAAAAGAGGAAGTATTGATACATACATGTGTATTTTAGCTAGTACTTATAGCAGTTATATGATAAAGCAAATAAAGTCAATCATATCTTGAGTAAACTTCTGGGTTTTCAAGAAACAGTTTAAACATGGTGTTTTCCTTTTTTTTTTTCAACTTTCTATTTTTTTTTCAAAAAATCCGGTTAAGGTCATTTCATAAAGCGATAAAATACAGTAGCCTAGAAAATCAAAAAGAGGGATACACGGACAAATTATTGGTAGAGGCAGTATGACGTAACATAAAATAACGAACCCGAAATGTTTGTAATTTTTTTTTTACATGTTTCCGATGTTCCTTTCGATATCTTCCTAGTCCAAACCTCATGCAAGAAGACGGGTATAGCCAGGATGTGCACTGGATGTCAAAATCGGCACGGGCATTTCTATACAATCCGGCTTACAAAATGTATATCATACGATGGGCATAATTCTAGGCCTACCTGTAATTCAAAGTCATTATGTTAAGTTTGATAATATATCGATAACTGTACACATGCTTTAAATCTTGATAAGAAATATAGACCTCATGTTGCTTTTCTATTGCTAAATGTGTAGGCCCTAAATCGATGGAGTATACCAGCCTGTCATTGGATGTAGGCTTTGTATCATTTCGGAAAATGTGTTAGATTAATTAGAGTCTGTACAAGATTGTTTTTAAACCAAACGTTCAGAGGGTCACTTTTATAAGAAAAAAATATAAAATCTTTAACAATTTTATACGTATCATAGTGACATCCATATGTTCCTTTCGGTGTCCCTACCGGCACATTTGGGTATAGGCCCACAGGGCATTTGCTCGAATGCCCACATAGCCAGTCCGCCCCTGGGTATACCAGCGGGCAGGGTATGAACCCGGGACCATCAAGACGACGTAATGACAGTCCAGTGCGTATACCACATAACCAAGCAGCTATCCGAAATAAAATATTTAGAGGAAGATTGATAAAAAAAATAATAAAAAGAAAACCTAAAACAATGTCAAAGTCGACATATTGAATGAATATTGCCTACTCTATAATACAATTAGTTTGTTTTGCAAGCGTCAGAAATAGCAAAATGTAACATTTATTTGAAAATTTCTAAAAAGTGCACAAATAATTGTAAAATAACTTACTAAATATATATATCACAGACTACAGACCTATATTTATATTAGGCCTATATATAGACTGGAACACGAAAACATAGAGCTTCTTTCTGAATACACGTAGATTTGCAAACAATGAAAGTTAATTAGTTTCTATTTTGTCGAAACTTCCGATTTTAAAATATATCAATATTTCTTTTATAAATAAAATGTTTATGCTCTTGAATTACATAATTATAATATAGGAATTGGGATCTACTAGACAAAGTGATTGATCTACAAGTCTATTAGTCTAAATATAGGTATTGGGATCTACTAGACAAAGTGATTGATCTACAAGTCTATTAGTCTAAATATAGGAATTGGGGTCTACTAGACAAAGTGATTGATCTACAAGTCTATTAGTCTAAATATAGGAATTGGGATCTGCTAGACAAAGTGATTGATCTACAAGTCTATTAGTGAACAAAGCATTTGCGGTTTTTTCTTATCTAAAGTAGATCATACCTTTCTAGGGCAGGATAGGCATGCCGGGAGGCCGATGGCATGCTGGAACTTATGCATATTTTATTATACATCAGATATTCATCAATAGTTTTTCGCTTCCGAACAGACAAAACAGAATCATCTAAAAATTGGAAATAGCGAAACATGGCCTTCTGGGCTGTCTTTATACAATGTTAACACGCTCGTCAAAGCTGCGTACTCTATTGAGTCCCCAATAAGAATAACTGGAGTGTCTTTATACAATGTTTACACCTTCTGGAGTGTCTTTATACAATGTTTACACGTTCTTCTAAGCTGCGTACTCTAGTAAGATGCTCGAATAAAATAATGGTGCCGCAACCCTCCGGAGAAAGAAGACTGTACGTAGAGTTGCCTGATCTGTGAACCACTGCGTAGTTCAGCTCAGATAATAGAGCTAGTTAACTGAACCCTCCTAGTTATCTAAACCTTCCCAGTTATCTAAATCCTCCTAGTTATCTGAACCCTCCTAGTTATCTGAACCCTCCTAATTATCTGAACCCTCCAACGTGATAATGAGAACGCGTAAAAAATACATCTGTTAAAGAATAAAGAATAAAACATCGGTATAGCTAAGTGTATATTGTTATAGCATCTCCTCTTTGTCCCTTAATAAAAAAAAAAAACCAAGCTAAATAGGACATTAGTGACTAGCGCCAAAACATATCATATACACCATGATAACACACCCAATGCAATGTTAGAAATCGATCGCAGAGTGTTGACAGTTTGTTAAACATTATTATCCGTAACATTGCACGATTGATTTCAAAATACGAGGGGGGACAATGCTGAATGTACCCACACAAGCTAAAGCTTAGGGTCCCAACTTTCTTCCACCCTACCCCCCATAAAGATTCCAGGGAGGTTGTCAAGCCTCTTGAAGAATGGAGAAGGGAGGGCATTGTCTGATGTAGTAACGTGGGAGGAAGAAGGGAGGGCATTAATAGATCAACTCGTTTTTGGCCTTATCAAAAGTCTAAATCATTTTCTCCCTGTCTCTTATGCACGGTTAAAAATTATGAGTTATTATGTTGATGATGGAGGTGTTGTGCCAGTGGCATAGCTAGGGGTTTGGGAGCCCGTGGGTTTGTCCTTTATAGGTGCCTCAGCTTTTTGACATTCGACATCATGACATGAGATACATACGTCTAAAGTCCAATTGGTACAGTATATAAGTAAAATAAAATAAAATAAAATCATTAAGACTCTTTTAATGAATAAAACCGTTTGTTTATTGGTGAGTTAATACACAAGTGACAAATCTCAATTCATATCGCCTCACGTCGTGCTTTCTGTGCAGCAAAGGCATCTATAACATTATCTAGATCAGTGCAGTCTAGTAATATTTACTTGACGTTAATAGTAAGATTACATAGGGCAGTTGCGTAATATTTAATATTGAATGTAATACAAATTTTAGAACATTTATTTGGGTACTCCCCCTCAAGTGGAGGCTCGGGAGTACCCCTGCCCCCACCAGAAATAAGCCACTGTGTGTTGGCCGAGTGGTAAAGTATTTGGCTTCCAAACCGAAGAATCCAGGATTAGAATCCTGGTGAAGACTGTGATTTTAATGCCGGGATCATTAGGACGCCCCCCACCCCCACCCCCAGCTCAAATAGGTGCAAGACATTAGTTGGTGAAAAGTAAAGGCTGTTGGTCATTGTGCTGACACCCTTGTTAACCGTCGGCAGAAACAGGTGAACTTTACATCCTCTGCCCCATAAATCGCAAGGTCTGGAAGGGGGGACATTATGTCGATGATAAACGTACCCTGAAAGTCATCCTTTAATGTCAACTCGCGAAGTTAGTCCCCACCTCCAATAAGTGGACTTGAAAGCAGTGGACATGAATGTTGACTAACTGGGAAGACATAGCCCCACAGTTCACAGTGTTGATAGAGATGGTGACCACAAGAGCTGTGGACAGGAAACAAGCACAAGCATCAAGAAGAAAAGCGAGCCAAACTACGAAATAAAAAACGACCGGTTCTTCTACCACCAAAGTAAAGGCCCACATTTACCTGTGTTGTACGTGGGAAAAGGGCAAAAGGTTCAGCCATAACAAAAGAACTCATAGCTAAGAATCAAAGCGGGCAACTCGGCAAGCGACTCAACCTTCCATGTGAGCGGTCGTCTTTTCAAAGGGAGCATACTACTCCATAGCCAAATTTGAGTTCATAGAAAATGAAATCTATACATGTCGACGGGAAGGTCTCTCCATAATAGGGAGTCCTTCAACAACTGTAAGTAGGCCGACTATTAGAGTTTTAAACAGAATGGAGGCGCGGTGGCTGAGCGGTAAAGCGCTTGGCTTCGAAACGGGAGTTCCGGTTTCGAATCCAGGTGAAGACAGGGATTACGGATATTTTCGCGCCTCTGAGTCCACATAGCTCCAATGGGTACCTGACATTAGTTTGGAAAAGTAAAGGCGGTTGGTCATTGTGCTGTCTACATGACACCCTCGTAAACAGTTGGCCACAGAAACAGGCGACCTTTACATCATCTGCTCTATACATCGCAAGGTCTGAAAAGAGAACTTTACTTAAAAAAAACATAATAAACAGAATGGAATCGTCAATCTCTTAGATTTCAAATCCTTAACTCTTTTCTCTCCGTAATTATTTACCACATTCTGGTGGAATCAACGCTGATATCGTCAGTTAGGAGAGAAAGAGTTAAAGAGCAATAACCTATTCTTGTAGTTGTAACGACAAACAAAACATAGCCATGAAAAGTTACTACAGAGAAATATGTCAAAATCATTATGGTAAACTCTTTGTGAAAAACTAAAGATCAGATCTACAATACTACACAGCCTCACGTTATAGACAAAGGAGGTAATTTTAAAGAAGATCAATCTTATTCAGTTATTTTTCTGGCTTCGGTGTAAATCGAACTCTGATTACTTCAAGGGCATTAAGCAGATTCAAGAGTATAAATGCCTTTACAGGTCGAAAGAGTGGGTCGCGGTGGCCGAGTGGGAAAAAATTTCGAGCGATAAGTAGTATACAGGCAACCCAAAGGCAGGCCACGAATAAGATGGCTTGATGCTGTATACTACTAGACCTTGTAAAGGCAGTGCTTCAACTCAAAGCTCTGAAATGCAGACGAAAAGCTCAGAGGAAATTAAAATAAAAACATATGGTCAAGCAGGCCAGTGACTCAATGGGCTGTAATACCGCAGGGGTATATGGAATGGACAAAAATGCAAAAAAAAATAAAATAGAAATACTTTTTGAAAAAACAAAGATTAAATAAGGGAAAGCACAATCACTGACAAATCTCTTAATACTGCAGGATGTATCAACCCCTTTTCTACGTAAATTAAAATTAATTAATATAGGATTAAGTAAAATAACTAAACGGTTATATGTTTAAATCAATTAATGTAGTTTCTTCTGCAATGAATAA